TGTAGAATAGGACACCTGCCCCATAACCTACTCTAAAAGCTAATGTGAAGGCTTCCAAATTCCTGCTCAAAAAATGAAGCATTTTAAAAGAAAAAAGAACAAGACCATTACTATCATCGTTATTGATTTTTGTTATATCAAGGATTAAGTGTTCAAAGACCTTCATTTGGAAGAGAGGCTTTTTAGTAGGTAGAGGACCAAGTCACTATTTTATTTTATTTATTTATTTTTTTAATAATTTTTTTTATTGTTATGTTAACCACCATACATTACATCATTAGTTTTTGATGCAGTGTTCCATGATTCATTGTTTGTGCATAACACCCAGTGCTCCACGCAGAATGTGCCCTCTTTAATACCCATCACCAGGCTAACCCATCCCCCCACCCCCCTCCCCTCTAGAACCCTCAGTTTGTTTTTCAGAGTCCATCGTCTCTAATGGTTCGTCTCCCCCTCCGACTTACGCCCCTTCATTCTTCCCCTCCTGCTATCTTCTTCTTCTTCTTCTTTTTTTCTTAACATATATTGCATTATTTGTTTCAGAAGTACAGATCCGTGATTCATCAGTCTTGTACAATTCACAGTGCTCACCATAGCACATACCCTCCCCGATGTCTATCACCCAGCCACCCAATCCCTCCCACCCCCCACCACTCCAGCAACCCTCAGTTTGTTTCCTGAGGTTAAGAATTCCTCATATCAGTGAGGTCATATGATACATGTCTTTCTCTGACTGCAAGTCACTATTTTAAACAATGAACTACTAAAATACGATTCATGTCATTGGGGGTACTTGATAAAAAATTTTGTTCAGCATTGCCTTTGGGAAAACATATTTTAAGATAAAAACGATTAATAAGTAATTTTATATGATGAGCCATCATGAGACTATCATTTTTTTTCCAGGTGCAACTAATTAATTGCCTCTCAAATATGGTTTCCCAATTTTGCTCTCAAACTCGTGCTGAAAAATTGAGTCAGCTTTATATTGTTTGGATTACAATATGTAAAAACCTCTTTATTTTATTCTGCCTGTATTCAGAATAAAAGCAAGGTGTTCATTAATTTTTCTGCATTTAAAACTTTGATCAAATTACCAATCTGTTGTAAATCAGTTGTGGTTAGGAAGCACAGGTACATTTGTGTAAATTGCAGTTTTCTGACTGGAAACCATTCCAAATATATGAAATTAATTATAGACTCGAGTCTCTTCTTTTGTTGTATTTTTAACTAGAGGAGTATATCATTTAACTGACACCAAACTTTGTTTTCTCTCTGTGGCACCGATGTTACAAATCTTCCAATGAAAGTGGACAAAAGAGAAAAAAACTTTTGTAAGGCCTTTGTACTGCTTTGCAGATTTTCTGATTTGGTGTATTTATGTAGAACCATGGGCAACATCTCATGCAAAGACAGCCATAGCTCTTGCCCTCCTTGCCTAGTCGATCCTGAAATAAATCTGCAGAAAAGCCTGTTTTTGTGTTTTAAGTGTGGGCTTAGCTGTTCCGAAGTCACAGATTCTAGATGCTGTAACTCCTTCAGTAGTTCATTTGCTGCTTGGCCCCGTGCAAGTCGATTAATGGTTTTGGCCTTTTGTGAAGTTTTACAATAATTGTGGGAAACCTTAGCTAGTTCTTCATCCCAGGACCTGAAGGATGGTTATAGTTGGTGGGGATATTAGCCAGAGTCTTGCCTTGGCTTTGCCTCTGCAGAAATCGTGTGTATCAATCACCTGAGAGACTGGTCTCTGATCATTCAATCTATCCCAACTAATTTAATTAATGTAATTCATTCTAATTCAACTTGTTTTCAAGTTTAATTCAACCTAACTAAACATGCTTTCAGACTAGAAACACAATTGATTTACTCATTATAAGAAATACAACAGCTGAATAGACTAGAATTTGCTCATGTCCTGTGAGTGCATTTTCCCAGTAGGGAAATCTATTGTGAAACCAAATGCAGATGGATGTTCCTTCATTTATATAAGAATCAGAACAAAGGAATTGAGTGGCATTATGACTTCAGTGAAGTCTGGAAGAAACCAACAAATTCAAGTTACTGAAGGGGCTGTCTGCCAAACTAGCCAGAAACTTTGGAATCATTCTGGGAAGTTTTTAAAGTTCAAGGATCCCCATGACACATCCTACTTTATGCAAGTCTTGGTTAAGTCAAGCAAAGATTTTAACAATAAAGCTGCATTAAAGAATGTACATATTCTGAATTGTACATAGACTTACTTTTTTCCCCATTTTATTACAAAAATTTCCAAACATACAGAAAAATAAAGGGACTGTACAGTGAGCATCCATCCCTATATCTACCACTCAGATCTACCATTGACATGTTATTGCACACCTATATCTGTCTGTCTTTCCATCCTTCCACCGGTCTGTCAATCTCAATCTCTTATTTTGATGCATTTACAAGTAAATACAGACATTAGTACCCTGGGTTTTTTTAACTTTCTACTTTGAAATTTTAAAAAATTCACAAAAGCAAATATAACAACATAATGAAATCCCATGATTTATAACCACTATCCACCAATTGTCAACATTTTTTAGTCTCGTGTTATCTCTTTTTCTCCCCCACACTTTTTTCTTGAGTCATTTAAAACAGATAACATATTTCATTTACAAATACAAATACTTATCTAACAGATAAGCATTTAATACATTACTGTTTAACAAGATTCCTTATCTAATACCTATTCTTTGCCTGTTGACCTTGATTGTCTCAAAGTCTTTTTACATTTTATTTGTTTGAAAAAGGATCCAAATGATGTTACCCATAAACTGGTGGTTCAATCCAGATACAAGATTATACTGCATTATATGTTTAAAAAAAAAAAAGAAGAAGATAGCAGGAGGGGAAGAATGAAGGGGGGGAAATCGGAGGGGGAGATGAACCATGAGAGACGATGGACTCTGAGAAACAAACTGAGGGTTCTAGAGGGGAGGTGGGGTGGGAGAATGGGTTAGCCTGGTGATGGATATTAAAGAGGGCACATTCTGCATGGAGCACTGGGTGTTATACGCAAACAATGAATCATGGAACACTACATCAAAAACTAATGATGTAATGTATGGTGATTAACATAACAATAATAATAATAAATAAATAAAGATTATACTCCAGACCAGTTATTTTGGGCAAGACAACATTGTAGGTGGTACTGGTTCTTCTGTTACACGTCCGCAGGCAGCACGGGATGGCGGGTTGTCCCACTTTTAGTGGTGCTAAGACTGATTTGTAGGTTCAAGCGTTGGCACACTGATGCCTTTAGTATGACATTTACCACTATGTAATTTTCACAAAATTACCATTTCTTGGATGCATTCATTAATTTGGACTTACAGAATGGTGACTAATTCATTTGTTGTGCATTTTTTAGTTGGAAGAACTTTGCCCATCAACTTCTTGGTAATCCTGAAATGCATTTTTTTGACCACAAAGGTAGGATAAATGATTCTGTCCCTTTACTTACCAATTATCAGAATGAGTTGTTGCCCTAGCAGCCTCCAAAGGTTTGTTGGCTGGTTGGTTTATATTATTAATTGTGGTAAAACACACACAGCAAAAGTTACCATCTTAACCATTTTTTAAAAGATTTTATTTATTTATTTGAGAGCAAGAGAGAGAGAATGAAAGAGAGAGAGAGAAAGAGCATGAGTGGGGGAAGGGGCAGAGGGAGAGGCAGATACCACCCCCCCACCCCAAGGTTGAGCAGGGAGCTCTATGCAGGGCTTGATCCCAGGATGCTGGGATTGTGACCTGAGCTGAAGGCAGATGCTTAACTGAGCCACCCAGGCGCCCCCCGTCTTAACCATTTTCAAGTGTTCAGTAGCATTGAGGATATTCATGTTGTTGGGCACCAGATCCCCAGAACTTTTTCATCTTACAAAACTGAAACTCTACACCCATTAATCAACTCTCCATTTCTCTCTCCCTGCAAGTCCCTAGCAAGCACCATTCTGCTCTGTTTCTATGAATTTGACCATTTTAGGTACCTTATGTAAATCGAATCATCCAGTATTTGCCTTTTTGTGACTAGCTTATTTAACTTAGCATAATGTCCTTAAGATTTATGCATGTTGCAAGACTTGCTTCCTTTTTTAAGGCTGAATCCAAAGGTTCTTATTCTTTTAAAAGCTTCCTTACTTTTTTTGTTATCTATTTTTTAAATGAACTCATGACTTTCATGTATCTGCTGTGTGTCAGTCCATTGCAGTCATTATTCTTTTTGGTGTTCAAAATGTCTCATCTTGGGCCCGTGGGATCCCCATCATGATAGCCTCTGAGGCCTGTAGACACGACTCAATAGTCTCTGAGAGCTTCATCTGTGATACCAAGGTGCTCCAGGCTCATCTTGTCCGTCTCCTACCCCAGAGGTGTACTACATGCCATAGTCTGGGCATATAACTTAGGCTCGCTTTTGAACTCTTTCCTAATATTATCTTAATGCTTTTTAATTACAAGTAGACCATAGTACGAGTATAAAAGGATAAACAAGGATAACAAAGAGTAAACAAGGATAAGAGTTGTTGAGAATAAAATGTGATCGGTTTCTTTTAACCACACGTAAGAGGAGCCTGACCATCTATGCTGTGATTTGAAACCATGGCTACGTATTAGAACCACTCTGTGAGCCTTAAAAAAATCCTAACGGCCAAGGCCACACCCCAGTCCAGTTTTACTAGATCCTTTAGGAGTGGCCCCAGACACCTAGATTTTGCAAATCTCCCCAGGTGGTTCCAGTAGGCAATCAAAGTTGAGAATGCTCATTTAGCAAGTGAACTCATAACCAAAATAAATGAAAAAAAAAAAAAGATACCTGGACTCTGGAAATTACCTTACTCCTGAATATACTAGGTTCCAGACTTCTCTGGATAAACTGTCCTTTGTTAACTTGATTGTGGCACCTCTAAAAATGAAGGAATCTCCTAGGTAACACAGTACTGCCAGTCTTTAATGCGTCTCCCCTTTCTGTTTTACAGATCTGAACAAGCCCCAGCAGCAGCCTTATTGAGGGCACACTTGGATCGGCATGTTGCCACCTTGCAAGAACATGATAATTCTATCAAAGAAGAGGTAGCTAAGCCATCTAAAGTTTTCCCAGTCAAAAACATGAACCAGACGACAAGGGTCAGTAATATTTATTTTTTAAAAAATAAGTTTCAAGTTTATGCAAATGATTATTTGAGGAAATAGTGACATTCTTTACAATGGTTAAAATATTTGAAAAAAATGTTACATAGTAAGTGAGGTTTTGTGGTTTGTTTGTTTGCACTTCAGGCCTTTTGCACAGAGTTTTGTGTAGGAATCTCAACTCCCTCCATAACAGTTAATTCAGATCCTAGAGGTAACCTATTTAAACATAACAAACACAACATTTTTCAAGGAACTTAGAAGCATCTTGTAGCATTCTGGTTTTCTTTCTCCACTCCATATAAAAATATTGAAAAGTCATAAATATTAATTCAGCAAATATGTATTGATCCACCTCTGTACACAGGTACCAGCCCAGATCCATTGGAGAGAAAGAAATAAATAAAAACATGGCATCTCCTTCTGGGGAATGGCATAGTGGGATGTGTGCAATAAGAAAATAGCAAAAGATATAGGCCTTCAGAAAAAGGAGCCAAGCCATCTGGAGATAGAATGAGGGCAGACTTTACAGTGGAGGGAGTAGAAAGGTGTGAGGTGACCCTTAAAAGAGAGACAGAATTTTGACAGGCTAAGAGTGCAGGGGGGTGCATCAGGCAGGTGATGGCAGGGGCAACAGGGAAGGGCTGTTGGGAGCCAAAGAACAGACCCAGAAAGTAGAGCTGAGCTCCAGTCCTCCTGGCTGGAGGGTTGGCTCCAGGCTGGGGGAGGTGGGTGAGAAGGTCCAGGGTGTCGTGGGCCCTGTGCACTGTATCCATCCAGCCCAAGTAGGGAGTTTGTGTTTGGTTTAGCAGACCCGGAAGGCTCTGAGAGCTTTTTAAGCAAGGAGGCACCCGAGGGAGAGTGTGAAGATGCTGAACAGATGGAGCAGATCCCTAAGGAGAGCAAAGGAGGACCCAGAAGCCCAGGTCTAGAGCGTGCCTAGTATAGTCTTCGTGATTCTCTAGAAGGCCATCTATTCAGAGAGATGGCGCTTCTTCTAAGTTTAATGTCTTGTCAGTGTGTCTTGTTTCAAAGTGTGTTTTTTCATCTTTATCTGTAATGTAGGGTTTTCTGGCTTTGATCCTTTTTAAGTTTGTATTTGTATCATGTTCAAAGTTCAAGGATTCGACATGTGCCCCTCCTGGAGGCAAGCCTTGCCACCTCAGCACCGAAGTCACACACCACTGTCACTGTGTGGTCAAGTCTCTGCCATCACTTCCTTCCCCAAGCCTTTCAGAGCACCTTCAGTGCTTCCCAAGCCCCCCTTCCTTGCCTCTTTAATTAAAAAGAGGAGAAAGATTTTTTTAACATTTCAGACATATACACATAGAATGATGTAATGAACTTAACAGTCCCATGCCTGCCCAAGTTCATGTGTGTCGTTACCATTGCACCAGATTTGTTTCAGACTTCACCTTCTGCTTCGTTCTCCCCCGACCCTGCCATCACCCTGCCCTTCCTCACCCTCCTCTTACCTGCTTCCTTCAGAAATCACCTACTGCGGTTATAGATACAGCCCCCGTGTGCCTCTCGCGGATCCCGTTTCTCTTTTCACAGATTACCTGGAATGTATCCTTCTCACACACATTTGCATTTACTGCATTTTATGTGATTCAGTAAATAAAGAACGATATTCTTTAGGAAAAACAGAACCTGTGTTTCTTAGGTCCATTCCGTATCTGTTGATAAATGTAGTTCTTAAGGATTTTGTTCTCAGGTTTTGTTGTCCATTTTATTCAGTACTATTTTATAACAGGCTTGTTTCCCATTCATTCCATTCACTGCAAGGACTTCGCATCTCAGCCACATCGAGGGTGAAAGATCTACTGCCCTTTCCTATCTACTCATGGTGTTATTTAAGTTGTTTAGAACATATATTCCAAGTTCCAGATTACCAATTCACTCATAATTTTTCAAATAATAACTCCAGTATTAATGGGAAGGGGGCTGCCTGATTAAGAACTTAGGAATCAAATGATATTCTGCCTCCCCTAGTAGGCTTTTTGTTCCTTTTTAAATCATCATGATCTCATCTTCCTAACAATCATAAAAGCTACCAACAAATTAATGACGAAGTCTGTCCTTAAAAGTAGAAGTAAGCGGGCCGTTTCTGTCAGTTTAGGACTGAAGAAATGTACAGCCCTAAAGAACCGTGTTACCAAAATGACACGAGCAAGACAAGCCTTGTGAACTTCACAACAAAATGCTTTTGTGGGTTCTAGAACTGCTTTGGTTTACACAATCATACTGTCACAGTGAGCAAAATCAAGTGTCTGAGTTATTTCTCTGCATTGAAACAATATAGGGGCACCTGGGTGGCTCAGTTGTTAAGCGTCTGCCTTCGGCTCAGGTCATGATCCGAGCCCCACATCAGGCTCCCTGCTCAGCGGGAAGCCTGCTTCCCCCTCTCCCTCCCCCTGCTTGCGTTCCCTCTCTCACTGTCTCTCTCTGTCAAATAAATAAATAAAATCTTAAAAAAGAAAGAAAGAAAGAAAGAAACAATATATACATTTAGTAAATAGTATGGGTTAAATATTTCTCCATAGATAAAAATCATAAAACTAAGGGTTTTCAAAATTTAAGAAAGCTCTACTAGAAATTACTTGGTGAAGAATCTAACGAAGCTCAGAAATATTTACTTTGATCTCTTGGGTAAATGGCTAATTAAACAGCCACATGTAAATGATGTTTACCTGTGGGTCCCTTTGCTGTCAGCTGGAGTCAATCCCGTCTCTTGAGTAAATACATCATTAAAGCCACCGAAACTCAGATTATGTCCCCTCGAGACCAGATAAGATCCACAGCACCTGCATAACCTATTAGGTAATTACATAATTGAGCTGCATGCTTTTAAATCAGAAAAATTTGTAATTACTTTATGTGGAAAAAAAATGAGTTGGGGGCTTCATTAAAACACTAAGTGCCTTAATACTCCTTTTCTCCTACGTGATGTCTCTTTCTGCCCAGGAGAACTTCTCCAGGCAAAGCAGAGTGGCTTGCTGGTGTCACCCACAGAGTAGGTCAGTCCTGTCCCTCACCACACATACACTGCCAGAGAGACATGTGATTGGTCACAGAAATCCCTTCACCTCTCCCTAAATGATGGACTGGTTTTTGATCTTATCTCTTGAATATTCATTTGCTGGCTCACATTAATACTTTCCCATTTCTTTTAATTGCTACATAGATAAAAATCCCCTTTCCCTCTCCTTTCCCCTTCCCCTCCTGTAACTTAGATATAACTTAAGAGCATTTTGCTTTAAGCTGTGAAAAATTACTTCTGGTGTGCAAGAGGAAGGTTTTTGAGGAAGGTCAGTTAAATCTGTGTATTAGGAAAAAATGTCACTTGTTGTCTGCAGCCATAATTCTCTTGCTTTTTTGTATCTGCATTAATAGCACTGATTTAGGTATAGAAGAGAATTTAATTTTACTAAATGCTTTCACGTTCACTTTCTGTTTATATTTGTACCACCCAGCACAGAAATCGGACTCTTTTGTGGGTAGCATGTCTTAAAAAAAAAAAAGAAAAAGAAAAAAATGCTCCAAATTTGGAATATTAAGGTAAACAAAAAGAATAAAATTGTCCATTGGCATTGCAGAGTGTGGTTTTTAATATTTAATATACTGACAAACATGGGCTATACTTTTGTGTACAAAGCTGCTTTTTTTCCCCACTTGTCACAAGTGGGCTTCCTTTCATATCATCCCATGTTCTTCTCCATCATTTCAAATGGCTGTACGGAGACCCTCGTATGGATAACCAGTCTCTTTAAACACACTCCTGTTGTTGAAGTTTGTTTTTAATTGTTCCTCTAGTAAAAAAAAAATTCAGAGAACATCTGGGCTATTCAATTTTTACAGCTGTCCACGCTGTTTCCTTAGGATGAATTTCTAGATGTGGAATTGTCAGGTCAGAAGGTACGTACTATGCACCGGTATATCTCACTCTGAAAGGGTCATCAGTTATGACGAATGAATGAAAATATCATTTCCTTGAGCTTTTAATGAAACTGGATACTATTGACTTTTTTTTTTTTTGAACACCAAGATTGAGAAGTACAAATGACATCCAATTTTTTTTTGTTCATTTGACCTTTATATTACAATTGAGGTCAAATTTTCCCCTACCTATTTGTTAGCCATTCGTATTTCTTCTTTAATAATTTGCAGGTTCATGTTCTTTGCTCATTTTTCTATTAGGTAAGTAATTTTTTTCTTATTGACGTGTAAGATTTTTTTCCTAGAAATTGGTACAATTTGTTGCAATATTTTGAGCAGTTTGGTTTTCTCCTCTCATTTCTTAAAATGGTGTTCTGGACATAATGTCTTTTCCAGTAATACGTTCATCTATCTATCTGTGCACGTAATATCACAATTGATTGTTTCTGGATATAAAGTAAGAGATGATTCTTGGGGTTCTAGAACTAGCAGGATCCATATTTAAACTGAACTTTGAGAAAAATTCTAGTAGATTGAACGAATAACTCCAGGTGTCCTGCTGAGTATAATTCATGGGATGATTTATCTTTCATGAGACCTGAAATGTGGAGATATCACCATCAGTCATTCTGCAAGCAGTGTCTGCCTTGGCATTGAATTTCCCTTTCTCCTGGCTCCGGGGAAGGCAGAAAAGTGAGAGACTAGTTTGTTGGTATTGACTTAAACATCAGACTGCTGAGAGCAGTGAGACAGTCTCCATCCCCCTCCTGGGCTCAAAATGTATGAAATCGAAGAGAGCCTTTATTAGCTAACAGATAAGTTGAAACCCAAGCATAGTCCATTCATAAGCACCATCAGGAGGCCGGTAGGAAAAGTTGTTGTCTGGTGGCATTTGTCACATACGAGAGCTCCAATTTGCAGAGCTCATTCAGTCCCAGCGTGAGCTATGTAAAGCAGCTTGTTCACTCTTCTCTGGGCTTTTGTTCCTGTGCAGGTATGGGTTAGTGTTGTAGCCTCAGGCCGAAAGCCCCTTCAAGTTGGGGGCTTCCTTAAAAATACGTCTTTCTAAAAGGTCTCCTAATAATACAGCTTGGGAATGTATTACAGATGTTTCTCCTGACTCTACCGAAGTTGTTTTTGACTTAAAACTTTCTGACTATTCTTTGTCTGAGACTGACATTTCTTTCTGTCCTGCTTATCATTATTCCCTGCTTGTTAGGGCCTTATATTGTGGATTCTTTTACAGATGACCCGCTGGGCACATCTACTGCTCTCTCTTGGCTCCATGGTCCAGTAAAGCCAAGCCAGCCATTCTCATGTAGTAATTGGACCTTCTACCAAAATCCTTACAGATAGAAAAAACTCATCTTTGCGAAATTATCTATAGAATTATCTTAGAAGATGAGTCCTTTTATCAATGTCCTTTATCAAAAAAGTATGAGAAATCCTAGAGATAGGAGTATTGAGTAGTGAGTATCATTTATCTTCATTTATGAAATGTACGAAATAAATAAAGACCTGCAATATGCTCACCACTCTACTTACCTCACCCCAGTAAAAAAAAAAGGGGGGGGGCTCAGCATAGAACTGGTGGCAGGGCTGGTGTCAGTATCAAGCATAGAAAGACTTATTAGACATTTGCAGTATTATTATAGCATTTTATTTTGAGGCCAGTTGGAAACCAACTAAAGCAAAAGAGGGTCTCGTATGTAAAGGGATGCACAAAGCAGTGAGATAAATTGTGTGTCATCATTGAGGGCCTAATGAGAAGTAATCTGAGTCACTGGCAACCCCAGTTTCCGTTGTCTGCAAATTCTGCAGCACAAAGTGCAGGAAGCTGCAACAGTTCTTAAACAATTTTATTCTTAAGATATGTGTGAAGACAGAGGCCATTATAATGAAGTCATGCCAAGAAATTATTAGTTACAGCTATTGCATAAGATGTGGAAGAAATACATTTTTGAGGGTCTTCCAGATGTTTGGATTATTTTAACTATCAGAAAAAGAAAACTACAGCTTTCATTACAGAATCTGGGCCAATTCTTTTTGTTCATATTCTAAAATGCTTTTCGCATAGCCAGGATTATTGGGCACACAGAATTGGAGCTTAACTCTCTGTGGGAAGAGACTAGATCAGGATGGGTAGAGATCTAGAAATGAGACACGCCAGGATGGTCCAGAGACCATACTGACAGTTGAGAGATGGCAGTTCAAGGACGTGGTGCTACTCTTCATACCTCTCTTCCTGGACAGATTCGGAAGCAGGTGCAGTGCAGTGGTCCATGTAGGCAGCTGGGATTGGGGCACTCTGACAGCCAGGGACAGGAACCAGCCCTGGCCTGAGCTTCAGAGGCAGGACTTTATACCCGAACCCTAGTCTGCAGGGATACTGTGCAGATCATCTCAATATAGAGTTACCGCAATTGGAATAAGATCCAGGACTAATTTAAACAAATGAAGGAAAAGCACCTGGTTACTAGAAGTGAACCACAGACAGGTCTTGGCTGCAAGTCTAACTTGATGCCAGGTCCCTTGGCCAAGGAAACTAGAACTCCTTAAATTCCCTCTAATCAGTTTCTGCAGCCCCTAGGATGGGCATGAGTCCAAGAGGCCAGCCGGTCCTAGAGAGGGCAGAAGGCAAGAGCCTTGCAGGGATGTCAAGGCCCACGGCAGTGACCTCAAAGTATGTTCCAGGCCAAACTCAACAAGGCTCGATCTTCCATATTCTGCCTCAGTGAGGCAGATATGTCAGGGCATCTTCACCTTCTTTCGTATTAATCACAAGGAAAAATTATTGTCTTCCCTCTTCTTCCCCAGATAATTATGGTGTTACCCCTTTGTGCTTAGACTAAAGATGACCGGTGAGGCTTTGTCCTGTCCCACTCTTCATATTAACTTGTAGAATCTCATGTTTGTTTCCCACGGGTTGGGTTGGACACTGCCCTGTATTTATTCCTCTCATCAGATACCAGTGATAGGTCAGCACCACCACCTAGGTTTTCTCTGCCAAAAGCCTGGGCAAATCACCACTTACAAGTAGGAAGTGAACGAGAAACATACACTCTGGAAGGAGGTTATGTCATCATTGGTTACCTCTTGTTACCAGTATATTTGTATTTCTCAGGAGGAGAGTACTGACCTGGAAATGAATAGACACGAGTATTAACTTGTCCTGTTAATTGCCACTTGTTCTCTACCTCTCAAGTTGGCCGTGATGAAATCTGTGCCCATCTGCCTGCCCACGAGACATGAGGTGATAATGGGTAAAGACAGTTCAGGGCCCTTTGAAAACAGATAGGCAGTGTGGCAGGCCGGTTTTCTGAGCTCCCAGAAGACTGAGGGGCAAAGTGCGGAGTGTCTTTATCCTTGATTGAAGATTATGATTTAGAATAAGTTTAGTTCTCTTTTTGCTTTCGTGTATCCTCCTCAGCCACAAAGTTTTTCTGCAATCTTCTCATTTGGGGAAGTTCACAGGTCATTTCTAGAAGGATGGGGATACCTCAAAGTCACATCCTTCCAGATTTCTCATTCCAAATCAACTGTCTTCATGCCTGAAAAACAGATTCATGCAATGAAAGATAAATCTTGGATAAACCAGCCCAGATTAACGGAGGTGGTCACATCTCATATACATACTTCATGAGTCAAAGAACACTTTTGCATTCCATAAGTCCTCAAAGAAGGTATCACAAGTGCAAGTTGTTGTAAAGAAATTATGCTGGAAAATAATCAGATGTTGTCTCATCTTGAAGACATTTTAATTTCAGTTAAATGTCAGGAAGCAAATTAAATCCCAAGTAAAGCTTAACCTAAAATTACATTTGAAGGCTGGGTTTTTGAGACCAAGGGTAATGTGGTTAGTTTGTTTTTATTTCTTTGTGCTTTCTTTTAAACACTGTAGGCAACAGCATTATTGAAAAAAGCCCTTACAGAAGAGTGTGACGATAGGTCAGCTATTCACAGTAATGAATCATCTTGCAGCTTGCCGTCTATTCTGAATGACAATAGTGGAATAAAGGAAGCCAAACCCGCTCAGTGGCTCAACAATGTTCGTACAAAGGAACAAGGTAACTATTGCTATACATTTCTGTCCACAGAAAACATGCATTCAGAATCAACGCAACACCCTCTTTCTTAAGGTATACTTATAAAATTAAGCTGATTAGAGAATACTTCTGATTTTAATATGCATATTTTCTCTGTTTTATACCAACTTTTAGGAAATATATTTGTTTTCAATTAGTCCAACAGGAATAGAAGACCTAATCATAGGTCTGCTGTTATGCTGAATTTCCAATAAGTTTTTTTTTTAAGATTTTATTTATTTATTTGAAAGAGAGACAGAGCACAAGCAGGGGGAGGGGCACAGGGAGAGGGAGGAGCAGACTGCCTGCTGAGCAGGGAGCCCAGTGAAGGGCTGGATCCCAGGACACAGGGCTCCATCCCAGGACCCCGAGATCATGACCCAAAGGCAGGTGCTTAACTGACTGAGCCACCCAGGCACCCCCTCCAATAAGTTTTTATAAGTAATGAAATGTTAGCAAAATGAATCTCTTGGCAGTAGATCATTTTGATCATGTCACAAGCATGAAGGTGATTACATTACAATGATTCCATAAAATACTGTGAAGTTTTTGATATCACTTAATAAAATTTACTCATAATTTGTAAACATTCTTTTTAATTGTAATGGAACCTTATAAAAGTTTCAACAGATGACTAAGAATCAATGAGTTTATGCCCCCCAAATTTAACAGCCCATTTTTAGTATCTGGAAATTGTGATTATTTTAGTAGTACTGTTAAGGCATGCCAGGAAACTGCTGTAATGGCATTTCTAAGACAGCCATGAGTTGCTCAGGATATACTCAGAAGTCGGTATACATGCGCAGGATTTGGAGCTCACTTGTTTTAAGCCCTATTTGAATTTGATAGATGTTGGACTCTATAGTATTTTGCTTGAAGGGAACATAGAGATACCTTAGATTTAGAACACGTTTCCTTTTTGGGCACGTGGGTGGCTCAGTCAGTTAAGTGTCTACCTTGGGCTCAGGTCAGGATCTCCAGGTCCTGACCCTTGTTGGGCTCCCTGCTCAGCAGGGAGTCTGCTTCTCTCTGTCCCTCTGCCCCTCCCACTCTCTACCCTCCCACCCCTCCTACCTCCCCCACCCCCTGTTCATGCTCTCTCGAGCTCTCCCAAATAAATAAATAAATAAATAATCTTAAAAAAGAATAGGTTTCCTTTGGAAACAGTACAATTTCAGACAAAAAAATAAACTAACCCACAGAAAGGGACATGGGGAGGCAGTGAAAATAAAAGGAACGGCAGTTTAAAAAAAAAAAGGCAAACATAGGTCCACTCCATAAATATATCCTTGAGATACACTTTTATCATCACGTGTTTTGTTTTTAGAAGTTTCCAGTGGCTGTGGAGACGAGAGCAGGGAAGAAAGCATGGCAGCGAAGATCCCGATAACAGGTAAAGTTACGGTCACCTGTGAATTTCAAACAGGATTCAACCTTATCTTATAAGCAGAACCTTCTAGGTTAGTGGTTTGTGGACTCCACTAAGAGCAAGGATATTCAACTGCTGCATGCTGGAGCAGGTGATTAATCATAAGAGCAGAACGTGTGAGCTTACGTTAACATAAACTAAGGTGGAAAATAACCGTGTCTATTGAATTCTTCATAATCATGTCATATATTTACACGTGTGAGCACCCCCATCACACAGCCTTTCAGCACCTGCGTCTGGGTGACAAGGTCAGTCTCCATGGGGAACACCCTGTCATTATATGGCAAACTACAGATGTTTCTGATGTGACTCTTTTCTTGCCTGTGATAATTGAATGTGTATCATTAAAATAAGAGCGGGGTGGCAGGGGGGGAGGAAGTGCCGGACATGAAGCTTGCCTTGTACCTCTGATAACTTAAAACTAACCAAAAATAGGAGGTGGTTAGCTCGTCTGATAATTTAACAATTTTAGCAGTAAGATTTCATCAAGACCTATCAAGATTTCTGCCCATGTATTATGCTTGTTTAGATGGAAAATGAATATCATTACTTTTTTTAGTTTTAGAATATCAACAGCAGCAATTAGTATTCTGAACAGAGTTCTATTTGTCGTACATCTAAATTTACTAGTATCTTATTTTGTAAAGTGGTGTACTACTTCATTAGAAATTCAAAGGTCTGACTTTAAATATTTATACAAGTAAATACACCATTGCACCGAGGTACTGAGGCATGCATCTGCATATGTGGTAGTTTTGTTGTTTATAAGCAGAAAAGAATGGCTTTCTTTTATGGCAGTACAATTCATGGCCTGATGATTAATTTTTTAAACCCATGTTTCTGTGATGAACTCTGGTTTTGAAAAAGGAGTATATAGTAGAGCAATTATTGTATATATTCTACATCAGATAATACTTCACTCCAAAATACAGAGGTTTTCTTTTCTTTTCAGCATTTTCCCAGTGATATAGTTTATTGCATTTTTATTCTTCATTTTGAGAAAACTCTGTGAGCAGAGTCTCTTCTTTGTTTTCTTTTTATTAATAGAAGTGTAGATGATCCCAAGCTGCAAATAACCAAAAAGTTATTTGGATGCTTTCCTTTGCAATTTGCCTTTGAACGCAGAAGTATCTAATGACCTCTGAACTTATTTCAGTTAAAATGACAAAGACTTATTGGGTGGAAACCAGGAAACGATCCAATTGCCCATTCTTACTTCTCCGGTATTCTTTCCAGTCATCCCTTGCAAGTAGATGACTCTCCCCCAAATTAATGCAGATGGTATTTTCCATAGACTTTCTTTAGAGTAGAAGAGATAGTTAAGTACTGCACTTTCACATTTTTCTCCTCTTTGTACAGAAAGAGGTGTGACGAGCTTAACAAGGATTATTTGCCATTAGAATCTTCAAAGAAATTGCTGTTCCAACAACCTGCTGTTGACCCATCAATAGTTGGCAGTTTAAAAAAAAAAAATGCTTTGTGCCTGTTGTATGCCAAAGTAGTAGACATATAAACTAGGGAAATATATCAGGAAAAAAAAAACTTTCAAAGCTAGTGACTTTGTTTGAGCATTGCCAGCTCTGTCCTGGCTATCACACTCTCCTCTGTGCTCCCCACGCACCAGACCTCCCATGAAGTTAATGTTTGAGGGCCTCAGGTACCTTGGCCCTGCTTAATACTGTTGTCACGCATGTCACTAAAGTTACTTTAATCTTAAGTTCTTTTTTTCCCCACTTTTTTGCAAGATATAATTGTCATATAACATGGTCTTAGTTCAGTCTCCAAGTTCTTGACCATCATCTTTTTATTAAATCTTTGTGTCTTTTGGCATAATTATTTGGAGATTTGGCCTTTGGTAGAGTTAGGGCAGATATATCATTTGATTTAAGATAGAGTCTGCCTCTCCCTTCATAATAATTTTGCTGAGGTTTTCCTGTTGTATGAGCTGCATTCCTTCTAGAGTATTCCAAAGAAAAGGAATATTCCTGAGGCTGTCCTCTGGGAGTTGAGGAGATATGGTGGCTGTCCCTGGGCTTTGGCATCAGCCATCTATGTCAGCTCTTTACTCCCTGCTCTGTTTCTCCGTCCCTCTGAGTCTCTCTATTGGGAAAGCAGACATATTACCTGGCAAGATTGTCCTAAAGTCGAAATGAGATCATGGGTGTGGAAGTGCCAAGCATGTACTACATACTCAATATATGAACGCTTCCTCCTGAACTGCACTAGGCACTTGGAACCAAGACCCACCCAAGCCCTGTGCTGCCATAACTCCTCATAGACCGCGCTTCCCAGTAGTACCACTAAATTAGTTTCTGCAAGAAATTTCCACTTGAAAACTCAATGGATGGTTTGAATCCAGAAAGATGTTTACCTTATCAAAAAGGAATCTTAGGGAGAGTTTCATGATATTTTAGGAACTTCTAATTAGTCCCATGAAAAAACCATTTAAGAAGAACAGCAGAAGTTGATGAAGTGACTCCTGGTGGTCTCCCTGGTAGAGGCCGCACGGCTCTGCCTGTGAGTGCTCATTTGCCACATGCCTGATATACCCACGATTGAGGACATTGCAGGGCACCTGATCACTGGGCAAGTCTTCCCCTGGTGTGCTCTAACAAATGTTGCTGGGCTGATGCAGCATTTCCCCCCATCTGTTCTGTGCAGTACTCCACCCAGAAGATACTTTGAGGAATATGTATTTTGGGACCAAACCCTATGTGACCCGTCTTTCCCTTTATAGGCAGCACAGTGTTCTGAAGCATGTTAAAGAACTTTTGGAACCATTTAAAGTGTGAACCTAGAGTTTCAAATAGCATATCTCTTATCTGAAAATGGCTGCCACATACCAACATTTATCAAGTGTAACTGCGGAGTGTAGCTCGGGGCCCTGTATGTGAGTGTGGCAAGGAAGAAATTCACAGTTGGGTCATGGAAGAACTTTCTAGCTCTTCATTCCAACAAAAATAAGGTGAGGGTCTTCCAGCTGCTGGCTGGTTGCACCATGGCAGGAACCAGCTCTCTAGAGGGGCACCGTGGAAGGAATTCTTGTTTCCGGGAACGCTAACATTCCTTCAAATGCTGGCAGATTCTCAGTCCGTAGCAAAGGAATCAAATGTGCCAACATTCTCATTTCTTTTTTTCCATTTGCTTATCATTCCCAAACATAGGTTTTCCTGGCAGAGGGGCTCGTCTTTAACTTATTTGCTGTCACTCTGAAAGGCATCTGCTTTGTTAGTCATCATTTGGGAGAGTGTGAGTTTCATAACTCTGGCTCCCACAGTCTGTGCTAGAATTTACACAGAAATCCTTCCACACACACCCATACACACTCACAGCCTATATGATCTGCCATTGTTAACACTATCTACTCCTTTTATTAGTCTGTCAATTCACACTCAAGATTCCAGGTATGAATCAAAAATTAATTTGAATGTCTCTGAATGTGTGGTTTTCTGTGTATAATAAATAGTATATCATTTGCATGTATGCTACACCTTTACTTGGGCTGCATCCTGGAAATACCAGGACAGCAAAAGCCTGCGACCCTGCCTTCACTAAGTCTCCCTCCTGTCCAGTCTTCATAACAGCCTGGTGGGGTAAACATCAGTAACTAATTCTACAGACAGTCCAACAGAAACCTAGAAAGGTTAAGATTCCTGTTCAAGGCCAGGTAGCTAGTGTGTTGGGTCTTGAACTGAAACTTCAAGATTTAAGCTTTGACCTTCCATTCCACCAACCCTTCCCCTTTGATTTGACAGGAGAGACACCCACATCAGGATGTCTGGATCAGTGAAATGTCAGTGTGTATCCCCACAAAAGATGAGCTCTGCAAGGATGCTTTGAGAGCTATGATGAACAAAGCCACACCTTTCATTTCCCTTTTGTCAGGCCTAGAGAGGTGGGCGGCTTGCAAGGATTTCCGAGTACAGATTGTACCAGAAGTTTGCCCTTCATAAAGAGGGGCAAACCTGAGTGCGGTTAGGCCTGAGACCACATGCAAGTAGTAGGCTATTCAGGTCAGTGTTTCCCTGAAACACTTAGGCCAGGATTAAGGCAATACTCACCTAGCTGATGAGAGAAAGTCCCCCTCTGAACGACTTCTACTCCCAAGTAAAATTTACCACATTGGCAATTTTATTTGTATTCACACTAAATTTACCTTTGAGAGGTAAGTGAGTTTTCATTTTAGCCAGTGATGCAGCTTATGCTAAATGTCATAAAAACCCATCACCTAACACAGAATCCCGCACACAGTGGGCACTCATTTTGTCGAACGAATGAATAAAAATGAGCGTATTAAGGAGTTTCCTTAATGCTTGTTGATTCAGGCCAGAATACTATCTCTTTCAGTCATTCACTCCACCAGTACTTTTCCCACCCCACGTGCCCATCCTGGCAAAACTCATCTCCTTAAGCTCCATGTGAAAAGGCCTCTCAGCTTTTATCTCAAGAGGATTAAGCCTCTAAGAATGTCCATTCAGCCTCTCATTCTTTTGACACCAATTCTCTTGGTCAAGCTGTGTTGAAAGTGGTTGCCTGACTGTGCCATTTCTCACTGGTAGTCTTTGGAAGCTGAAACATTCAAGGATATACTAAGGTACGTCCATTTAAAAGCTGTGTGGGAGGTCAGCATAGAATTTGAAGGTTGCCGCTTAGGGTTCTGGGCAGTGCTTCCCCAAACACGATTACATGAGTTTTTCCTCACACCGCAAAAGGGCTGGAAGCCTACAACAGCCAGGTTGTCACTGGTGACTAGATTTATCCTGGGAGAAAAGACTGCAGTGACAACTTTTGGCGGCCAGAGAACCATGTCTCATTTGTCCTGTCCAGAAGTGCACAAGAATCATGCAAAGACCTGTCTACTTGCCGTACTTGGGACCGGGGACCCCCCCAACTCATGTAAAACCAAGGGAGCCGCCACATGCTGCTGGATTGCCCGCTGTAGCCCACACAGCCCTGTCTCTGTG